TTAATGTGTTAAAGGGTGCAGACTGACACCTACATGCTAGTGATACTGAGCACAATAATTTCTTGTGGAGAGAAGTCTTATGCTTTTGAAGGAACAACAGCATTTATAGCATTTATAGCTGGTGGTAGCAAAGGAAATACACCACTTACTGTGTCTGAGTATGACTTTTCATTTTCATTTAGGATTCAATTTTTAAGTTTTTTGTAAAACTCTGTCAAATCATAACATGAATATTACAGTATTTCTGCCCTATAGATTCTTCAGCAAACTGTCTTGTTTCTAGAGCCTATACAGAAAAATGATACAAAATCTCAGTTTTAATCTGTGAGTTGATATGCTAGGAATAAATGCTGTTTAAACATGCTGTGCTCTTCTCACAGCTGATTCTCTGCTATTTCGGTTGCATTTAGGTTGTGCCCTTGGCTTGGTACGCTTTGATTCAGGAAAGATTTAGTGTGTGTCATTATAAGTACTTCTTTAAGTGAATCACAATACCAAGCCTAATATATATGAATCCACAGATGCTGCCATTGTAAAACTGCCCTCAAATACTGATTTTTTTTTTTTACTGCTTTTTAAAGTAAGATTGGTATACTGTGTCTTTCTTTCAGATCAACTCAATTAATGATGTAAGTCTAACTGCTGTATTGTCACTGGATTTCATATTACATATCTTACATCTTCTTTCTTTTCTTTTTTCCTCATTTTCTTTTGATCTTATGTTATAGTTTTTGTTCCTTTTTTTGTTTTTTTCACTAGCATTCATTCTGTGGCCTTGATGACACAACTGAGCCGAGACGTGTGGTTGGTATTCTTTATATTTCTTTGTACTCAATTTTTGACTCCTAGATTTTGCCATGTTTTAGGGATTGTTTGTAAGACTGTAACCATGAGGAAGGGCATACTGGTTTTACCTGCACAGAGAGGACGAGCCACCTATAAAGTCCAACTTGGATACTTTCCTTCCTAGATTTCTGCAGAAAGTGATTGGGTTTTCAATGTGAAATGATTTTGTATTCAAAGATACTGACTGCCATAGCTGCAGTGAGTGCTTTCCATTCTTGCACAGCAGGTACATTTTGTCTGAAAGTTTAGTTATTGCTGTAGATTCTTGCCTTGTGTCATGCTGGATGGGGAGGAGGCAAAGAATCACTTGGCTTAAGTTTTGCCTTCTAAGAAGCCCTGTGAGCATAAGCACCCATGCAAAATAGGGGGTTTGTTTCACTTCCTCCAGATCCTTGAGGCCATGACCTAACTTAGGATTAATAACAAATTTTCCCTTTTATGAGTGATTTGAGGGTTGCAGCGTGAATGACACAACATGGAAAAGGTGAGGATAAAAATCCTCTGTGCCTCTCCTTTGAGACATTGCCATCACTCTCACTGTCCTTTCCCAGTGTGCTCATCCTTTCAGCTCAGTGCAAAAGGCAGTGAATTTCTTCAGCTGTGGCAGGAGCCATAGCACCAGTACTCACCTTTCACAGAGAACAAGAGGGAAATGCAATTTAGAAAATCAGTCCCAGTCCTCTGCCCTGGAGCAGTGCAAGTTCCACATTGCTCTTCAGGAAGGATGGTAACTCAGCAGCCTAACTGAGGATTAAACTGTGCTTTAAAGCTCTTGAATATTATACAGTATTTGTACTGTTACTCTTGGTTCTTTGATTTTGTTTGTTTTTAACTCAATAATACACAATGCTTTTACCTTTACAAAATTTCTAAGCTTTTTCTTCTTTGTAATTTGTTGTGAATTATCTTCAAGGAATCTCCTTATGGTGGGAGTTTAATCAACATCTTTGAAACTGCTATCAGTACTGTATGATGAAAAAGAATGATGACAATAGTTGCCCTAAGCCCCTTCTATGAGCATGAAACAATATTGTTAGCATGAAACAATATTTTCTACTGTCCAGATCTCAAATGATTTTGAGAAATCAGACCTGTATTATTATGGGCTCTTTCTAGGGTTTATTCAGGTCCAGTGTGTTCAGCTATCATCTTTCTGTTTATGCTCTTTGGAACTTGCTCTGGGTGTTCATTACAAGCATTGCTGCATATAGTTTTTATTTTTCAATAAATTTTTCAATAAAATGGTAACAGATCCAGATGGGTAGAAGGTAATTCTCAGGTATTATTGTTTTCTTAAAAGTGCAGGAGCTTTCTTTTGATTGTTAGAAGTTGAAAAGTAGTTGAAATTGAACAAAATTTTTCAGTATTTTTGGGATTGCTTCTGAAATTTTGGTTATTTTATAAAGGATTGAGCATATGTTTATAGAAAGGTGTGTGAAGAAACATGAAGCCTTGTAGTAAACTATTCACCTTTCCACATTTTGAAGTGAAATTTTGGGTGAGGTCAGATAAGACAGATGCTATTTTGGTTAAGATAAGTTTGAAAGAATAATGTTAAAAGAGTCACCGAACTATTGCCTTTGGAATTTCCTCCAGGTTTTTTATACCAGTCCCAGTTAGAGGTGCTAACAGCTGGATGAATATATATGCTTTTAATATGTTGAAAGATATACTGGCCAAGTCTAGAGATACTTTATAAACATTCAATAAACAGTGAAATCACCAGCATTTAAAAAATTCTATTTAAAATATTTTGACATACTGTGCATTCAAGGGATTTATAGTTTTCCACACAGACAGATATTACCTGAGAGTATTCTGGGTTCCCCTTAGATTAAAAGAGAAAAAAAAAAAATTTAAAAAATTGAAAATGTTAATAGTCTTCAAAAAAATGCATTGTGCTGATATAATGTGCTACTTTTCCTGCTAACAATAAGTACTTAAGTAATGAAATTCAAGCTTGGTGACAAGCATTTTGAGGAGATGACACAGGGATAGTGACTAGCCACATAACTACTCAGCTTTTGACATTTCTAGGAGTGCACATCACATTCTGGTGCTGGTGTGAAGGGCAATGTTCTTTAATTCATCTTGCCAGAGGTGAATGTCTCTGATTAATCTAACACAGAAAAGCCAATTTTAAGATATTTAATTATAGTTGGACTTTTCAACACTGTTAACTGTTTCAAGGCAAACCAGGTGATTTACTGATAGTAATTTTGGTTCTAGTTGTTCTGAAGGTAATATAAAACATTCAGAAAGGTATTGTGCTGTCTGTGAATTTAGGGTTTGATACCAACATGTGTTTCTAAAGTAATGTTTTTTATCTAAAGCTCAGGACACTTTTTCTTTTCTTTTCTTTGTTGTTTTTGTTTTCTGTTTTGGCTTTGTTTTGTTTACAGGCTATTAAAAGAAGCTATGGAGTGAAAAGCTGAGTCCACATGAAAAATACGGAAAATATTTATTAAGCAACTTTAAATCGGTGCATTTTTTCATAAAGCAGTTTGCATAATACTTGAAGCTGCAAAATATTTGAACTTAAAATTAGAGATTTTTTTTTAAAAGATATGGCTTCAAGCTGGAATGATTTCACAATCAAATAAGGACCAGCACATCATAAACACTGAAAAAAATTACAAACAGGACTTACACTCTCCCACCAACCAAACAGCAGAAAAAATACAAGTGCAATTACTGGCTGCTATGTGAACTGTTACTACCAAATGGTTTTCTTACAGTACTGAAATCTTTGTCTCCATACTGCATGCTTTCAACAAATGTCGTTTGCATTTCACCCAAGAAACACAGGATCTCCTTTTTAATATCTATATTAAAAAAGCTAAGTGTTTGACATTAAGTTGTCTCTAGTAAATAGCTGAAAGGAAGCAAAATGTTCAAAGTTGGAAACAAATAAAGAATTACTACCCTGCAGTGGTCAAATTCATATTAAATTCCTAAGTTGGAAATCCACAGGTGCAGAAAGAAAGGGTTTTGGAGAAAGGCAAGGTAGATTGAAGTATGAAAACTTTGAAGTGGGTGAGAACTATATGGGAAATATGATTCTTTGAATGTTTTTGAAAAGTAAGGCAATGTCTTGTAAAGACAGCACTGGGAAAATGACAGATTCCATGGTGGCCTGGGAGGTCAGGAAAAGAGAACGCATGATGTGCTGTGCTCAGTTATCTCTTCAAGAAGAAAGAAGGACTTGGACAAATGGGCATGTATAAAAATGTGATAAGCAGAGAAACAGTTGAACATGAATATTTGGAAATCATGGCATACTCTCAGGTGAAATAAAAAAAATCATCATTAGCAAAAATGACACAACCTCAACCAGCAGAGGTAGATAAACAGTCACTGACCACCTGAACTGCAAGAAAAATTTGAGGTGAAGCACACATTGAAAAAGTGGAAGTTGCAAAGACCTTTTTAAGAGAATGGTTAGAAAATGAAAAAAAAATATTATTCTTTCAAAGAGGGAAAAGCAAATCAATACTTCAGAACTGGAAGGAAATTTTCAGAAGAAATAGATAATTTTAATTATTTCTGAAATGTTGAGGCAAGATGCAAACTTTGAGAGCACAATATTAGAAGATCACTTTCTCCTCCCTCACATTTTCTTGAAAATCATATTTGTGAAATAAGTCTACTCCCATGGACACACTGAACTCCAACATGAAGTAGCTGGTTACAATAACACATCACATGAAGTGGAAATTATGATTGACAAAAATAACATAAGGCATTGAGCAACTAAGGAAGGACAGAGGAAGCTGTTGAAGGTGCTGGAATCAGCCTCAGAAGCAGCCTGTTTTCTCAGATAATTATCAGGCTCTGAAGAGAAGGACACAAAGAATCACTGGACAAGAGCTTTTACCTGCAGAGGGAGCTGAGACACTCCACAGGATTAATTCAGTCACATGCAGCAAATTGTGGCTGACGTCAGGGTCAGAATAACCCTGGTAGAAAGCACAATTTACCTTGGAAATGAGGATCATGCAAAAGTCTGGAATCTCAGTCTCCAAAAGAATGTGCTGCTCACAATATATTGTTCAAAAGGTACAAGCATTTCTAGAATGTGTTTTCAAATAGAAATTTTTCATGTTTTAGTTAAGGGTTTTAGCAGTGTGATGACAGAATGTGGGAAAATAAAGCCTTCACTGCGAGAGAGAGTCCTGGCATCACTCAAAAGCAAAGGACCACAACAGAAGGTAAACAGAGCTTGAGGTTCTCAAACCTGGTGCCAGTGAAGGAACAAGGATTCACTCGGCAAAGAAACACTTCTCATAGACACAGATTTGCTCATCACTGTTTTGAATATGGAACTACAAGCACAAAATGGTCAGAGCATGTGGCTGCCACAATAAGCGCACTGCACGGACAGGAGAGGGTCTGCTTAAAAGGCACAGAAGGTATGAACAGTTTCGTTTCCTTATTTCGTTATGTGTTTTTTTTCACGTTACATTGTAATGCACATGTGACAGTTTTCTCAAGAAAACTGGCTGATTGGGCTGACATTTCCCATTGCATTAATGATGGTCTTTTTCTGCACTGAGCTAGCAGGATTTGTACTTTTGGAAAACAGATCATTACAGTCTCACTATCTGTTGTATATTGGTATTTGCTGTAGAGCTGGGAATGGGTACAGTGTGTTAACAGGTTTTTCAGGCTTTAGAGTAGGCTGTCCAGCGAGCTGGTAGAATCACCATCCCTGGAAATGTTCAAAGGTGCATGTGGCACTTGAGAACATGGTTTAATGCTGGTCTTGGCACTGCTGGGTTAGTGGTTGGTCTTGGTGCTGTTAGAGATCTTTTGCAACCTTAGTGATTCTATTATTCTGTGATTCAGTCCATGCAAGATGGACTGAATCGCAGAATTTGGGCCTGATTTTCCCTTTTTGTGACACAGCTTTCAAACCGTCTGTCCTACTGTATAAATGAGGAAGGGAACTGTAAGTGTCTCATTGCTTGTGTCAGTTGTAACAGCTTTCCTGGGCTCATGCTACAGTTGCAAATGATGTTAATTTGGCTTCCACTGTGAATTATTAATGAGAAAAAGAACAATGTTCACTGTTATTATATGTGCCTTTTGCAGTGCTGTTCAGGGATAACCATTGTCACAGAACAGGGTGTCTATTCCATTTACAAATAACAGAAACAAAATACTGATGTCTCAAGGAACTCTGCATTGAAGATACTGTTTTATTTGGGAAGTGATACCATCCAGGAGAGGGCCATAATTATGTTAACATGTCTCAAGGAGGCATGGTCTCTGAGAAGAGACTGGGCTTGGTATCACAAAGAGGTGTGAACTTTGTTGTTCATGTGGATTTATTTGATGTCTATCCATACTTGAAGCTTTTAAGTATCATGGCTTCTTAAGGGGCTGAGGAGTGCCTGAATTGTTTCAGCTCTAGGTCCTTATGCAGCTGACACAAGGCCAGTGAGTTCATACAATTGACCAAAGTTACTTTATGTAATTGACTGAACCTGTGAATAGCACACAACAAAACATCAAAACATGAGGTGATAAGAGAACTGGTTTTTTTAATCTTTTGCACTGATTTTGTACCATTTTTTACTCATCAGCGTCAAAAAAGTTACTTTTATCTTCCTCTTTGCACTGTAGATTCAGCATTTGTCTACCAAAAAAAAAAAAAAAAAAAGTAATTGCATTATTTCCTTGGTAATCAATCCAAGCTCTGGTTGAATTCCAGTAACAGATCCAATTCCAAATCAACACAAATGTAGCAAAATCATTTCATAGGCATGTCACAGGTGCCAGCTGGTTGAGGTTTAACCCAGCTGACAGCCAGCATCATGTAGAGCCACTTCCTTGCTCCATCCACACCCTCCCTCCACCAGTGGGGAGGAGAGTCAGAAAGAAGAGGTAAATCTCTTGGGTTGAGAAACAAACAGTTTAATAATTGAGACAAAATATTACTACAATAATATGCTGGTGCTAATAATTGTAATTATAAGGAGGGAGAGAGAGAGAATTTAACAGGACTCAAGCAAGTGTGCTTTGCACTGCAGTTTCCCACCACCTGCTGACCAATGGCCAGCCAGTTCCTGAACAGCAATTGGTCCCTTCCTGGGTAATTCCCTTCAGTTTATATAGTGAGAAGGAAGCTCTGTGGTGTGGAATATCCCTCTGCACAGTTTGGATGAGCTGTCCCAGCTGTGTTCCCTCCCAGCTCCTTGTGCAGCTCCTCACTGGCAGAGCATGAGCCGCTGAAGAGTCCTTGACGCAGGGTGAGCACTGCTGAGCAGCAGCCAAAACATCAGAGGGTGATCAGCATTTTCTCATCCTAAATCCAAAACACAGCGCTGTGCCAGCTTCTAAGGAGAAAATTATCTCTGTCCCAGCAGAAACCAGGACACAGTTATGACTATATTACTGAAGTGAGTTTCTGAAGAATTTTTAGATCTATGACTAAAAGAGGCAGAAGAAGAGAACCAACCTTAACTTGCCTTCTCAAGCCCAAATTTGAAAATTTCTTTCAGCTATGGTTTCATGACCTGTCAGAAGTGGATACAAATAAAATACTGCATGCAGAATTACAAAATACCAATTAGATAAACAGAATGTTTTCTCTGAAATAGTTATAGAATGCCTTTTAAATAGGAAATATCCTTTTTTAATCTTCTGTCTTGAAACAATAATAATGTAATATATTTATCCAAAGTAAACACACTAGTGTTAAACTCCTGTGGTTAGTAGGAAATTATTCTCTTTTCAAAACTTTGATGACTAATTCCTTTATTAATTAGTCTAACTGAATCTTTTATGGGGATCTCCTGTTGTAAACAGCAACTCCCCTCATACATTCTAATGGGGCTAATGAAATGAGACTTTCTCATAAATAATAAATGTGTTCAGAATCAAGAAGGACTGTTCATTTGATCACCAGAGGCTTAGACTCTGTTATTGCATGCTTAGACTCTAGTACATTGAGAATCTAATTTGGGCTCTTTTTCATCATGGATCCTTCGTCTGGAAGAGAACAAGAATTTTGTTACTGTGTTAGAATGCCCAGTAATGAAGGATTTGCTATCCTGAATTTCAGTGTTAAAGTTGCTACTTCTTGGGTTTTCCAGGAATTAGAAGATGCAGGCACACCTGATGAAAAAGTTAACAGTGCTGGAGAAGAGAATTTGAATGTCAGAATAAAAGAGCTGGAAAAGTCAGAGGAAAAACTGAAAAGTGTTCTAGAGGAGTACGTGGAGTCAGATTCCATCCTAAGAAATAGGTAAATGAAAGGGGGGTTTGCATTAAAATTTATTATTATGTGACAAATGTACTCTTCACTTTGCCCTGTGTACTGGTTGTCAAATGATACATGCAGAACCAGTAAAAAGAAAGGCTTTCTGTGTTTTTAGAGTGTTGTAGAAGATTAATGTCTATTTTGTATAGCTGTCAGAATAGAAATGCAATAATAAATTTTTAAGAATTATTATATAAGTAAGATTTACAGCATGGTCTAACATATTGTTGCAAAAAATAACCAGGCAGTTTTCTCAGGACGTTTCATTCTTAAATATTCATATGATGCAAATTCTGTTTGGCAAGTATATTCCTTTCCTTTTAAAATAAGAGTTAATTTGGAATTTTGTGTTGTAAAAAAATTTTCTTTTTTCAGAAAGCTTAATCTAATTTAATGTGTCAATGCTAACCATTACATTAGATGAAGGTGCCATTAAGCATTAATTATACATTTGACTAGAATAATAAGGTTTTGATAGTCAGCAACAGCACTGTTCTAAAGAATGTAAAAGTTAAAAAGGATAGGAAATATAAATGGCCTTAAAACACTTATTTATATAATTTTTAATTATATAAATATAATATATATAATAAAGATATATTTTATTATATATATTAAAATATGTTATATTTATTTATTATATAATTAATAAATATATATTTTGAATTAATCAAGTAATTTTGTCAGAAATATTTTAATAATGGGCTTTTTTCACAATAATAATTAATCTTCTTTTAAAATATTTTCATACCATACTTTGTAATTTTATACTACCATTTGAATAGTAACAAGCAAAGCAAACCTGTGTTTTGTCAAAATCCATCTTTGTGGACAAAGTCAATACAATTATGCTCTGTAGGTTTAGCACCCACTGAAGGCATGTCACAAGTAAGATATTTTCACTTCAGCTCCTAAAACATAGGTTCTTGTAGGTTGCCCGTCATGTTAATTTTGATGGGAAGCATTTACTGTCATAAAAATTGAGTTTCACTGATTGTGAACCTGCCACAATCCTATCATCAGGTACATGCAGAGACTGAAGTGTTGTGGTTGTCTTTATGGTGAGTTGCTACATCATATAACATGCCAAACTCCATTGAACAAAAATCTGGTAAATGTGTTTGCTTGTGATATTATTAAGTCAGCAGAAAGGTGTTATCTTTAACAATTTTGACACACTCCAGCATAATGTGCAAACCCCAGTAGACTTGTTAAGAATTAAATGCTTGTTATATTAGTGATCAAAACTTTGTTACTATTTTATTTTTGGGGGGCAAATACAAAAATAAAGATAAATTGATGTGTTGCTTCTTACCGCTTATCCATCTGGAACTGTGCTGTGGTATCTACTGAGCAAAAATGTTCATTCACAGGATGAAAGAGCTGGAGCTGTCACACAAAACACTTCTTGTGATGATTGATCAACTTTGTGTGAAGCTGGACCAGGTTGAAAATGCCAATCTGCACGTTAAAGGGAAACTGCAAAGCCTTCAGGAGGACCTGATGCACTTGGTGAGGGGATATTGCTGCAAATGACCTATTTTATTTCCTCTTTGTGATAGTCATTTATAAGTCAAGTTCATCTCCAGTGACCTCTGCTTTTAAGCAATAAATGGTCCCAGCCTTTCTCTTTTGCTACAGCCAAAGAAATCAGAATAATGTTTTGGAGTTTTTTGGGTTTTTTTGCCTCCCAGCTTTCTATTTCTCTGTTGTTTCTGATGGCACTGCTGTTATTTCTCTCATTCAGGCCCTTGATTAAATTTATGCTCCCCCTTCTTACTTTCTCCCTAGAACCTGCTCAGTGCACTCCTTCTTAGGTCAGACTTTATCTTTCTAGCCCCATACAATAGGCATTTTTATCTAGTTTTCTCATTCGATGGATTCATGAAAATGGAGAAGGAATGAAAGGTTTTCAGGAGCAGCCTTCAGTGAAACAGTGTCTTTCAATTCTGTTTATCATAACATAAACATTTATGCAGCATTTTAGGTCAAAATTGAATACTCCAACAGGACACCAGTACTGTGTGGCAAGATTCACCAGAATGGGGAATAGTCTCTGCTTTTGTAATTAAAAGTGAAATGTATTTTTCAAGACTCAGGAAGCTTAGACATATATTCCCATCAAGAGTTAACAAAACAAAATATTAGCCTACATCTACCTGACTTTTCAGCCTAGTGTTCCTTCTGACCAGTCCTTGCCAGTGAATGCCTCAGACAGGAAAGTACTGATGATCAAAATGACTGATCTAAAGAAGTCCTTGAAAAAAACCAAAGTCATTCCTTCATGCCTCTGTGCCTTCAGTCTTGCTTCAAAGCTGCTGCAGTGTCCCTGTGATGCTGGTGGCTCTTGCTCTGCTCAAAGCAAGGGCAGTACAGGACTCATGAAAGCCTCTTCTGCCTTTCCCTGGCATCTTTCACCTCCAAGTCTCTGTGTTCAAGCACCCTGTAGTGCAAAGGAAAATACCAAAGTTTCTCAGTGTTTCAAAAGGCATCTGTTCCTTTCTCCTTTTTCAGCAGTCCCATAAGAGGAGCTGACAGATGACAGGTATAGTGAAGAGCAATGGGAAAAATCCTGGGCTCTGGAAAGTGTGTGTCCTGTTTTCTATAACAGAACCACAGCTCCCCTGCCTGTAACACCCCAGTGCTACAGTACTGTCAGTGTTAAGGATCTGTTACTGTATAAATCAGAGCTGGATATATGAATTACAGTTCTAAGGTTTATTTTGGTTTAATATGTACTTTAGAACATTCCAAAATGTGTTTAAAAGGTTCCTGTATGTCATGTAGTAGCAGATGTGGGTGAGTTTGTTTTATTTGGTTCCTACTGAGATGTTTGGTGATGACTGAAATGACAAAGCAGGTTATTTTTGCTCTAAATGCAGTATTTTACTGGCTTTAAAAAAATTCTACTTGTGTCATTCCTGAATTTTCAGAAAATAAGGGCAGAACTATCACTAAATTAAGAAAAGTTGTAAGGGAACAGGAGATTTGATATTAAGTTGTTAACTGTACATCTCACTGAAATGATAGGTTGAAAACCAAAAGAAGTCAGAGAAGAAGCACAAGGAAAAATTGCGTTGGCTTCAGGAGCAGCTGAAGACAAAAGAGGATGAAATAAAAAGCCAGTCAGAATATTTTGAGCACTACAAACAAAGGCAGAGACAACAGACAGCAGTACTGAGGAAAAGGGACTGTTACCTTCAGGGTGAGGTATCTAGGCTGGAAAAGCAAGTCCTAGATCTTAATGCCCATATTGCTCTTTTGACATCCAAGTTAGAAGAGGGAATGGTGCAGCACCTCCAGCAGAAGCTGAAGTCAGTGTGCAGTGGGATTCAGGGCTGTAAACACCCTGGCAGGGAAGAAATGGAATGGAAGAGTTATATTGAAAATGTGGAGCATGATGTGAAAAGCCACCTCAAGGCATTTCAGCAAAACCTGAAGTTCTTGAGGGAAAAAGAAGAGAACACTAGAAGAGAACAGGCAGACCTGCTGACCGAACTGCAGTGCTCTCAGGACACTGAAGACTTTCTCAGAACAAAATTGGAAGAATCTCACCATCATGTCTGTAGTTTAAAATTATCTGAAATCAAACTAAAGGAAAAAGTGGAAGAGCTTTTAGATGAAAACAGAACTTTAAATGATCAAGGTACTATGAAGTTGAAAAAGAAGAAAGAAAACTACTCAGAACTTACAAGATTGGTGGATGGGGACAACGGTATTGACCTGGTAAGTCAACTGGTAAGTAAAAATAATACAAAATGTAATTATTTTTATCTTTGTATCACCCTGGATTACACCTGTCATGAGAGGTACAGTCAAGATGCAAGTGTGAGGCTTTATCCTGCCTGATTTTTTTTATTATTGTTTATTCATTAGTACTTCCCAAAAGTACTAGAAAGTGTCTCTTTCACACCCAGCAGAATCAGTAGTTGGAGTTTCATTGCATCAGAGCTTTTGTTAGGTGCACGTTGAGAACACTCAACAAACCTTTTTTCCTTAACCTTTGAAGTGGTGTGCTCACAGCAAAAGGTCTCAATCTGAATGAGATTGGCACTAAAAGCAGAGCCCAGAACTTCTGAGACCTGCCTTGTGGACACCATTCAGTGGAGGAGGACACATATGGTTGGATGAATTTTTGCATGTTATTCATGCCCAAATGCTGGAGCAAAAAGCACTCTTGACAATAAATGTTGTCTCTGGGATTTTCTGGGTAATGGTAAACAAGGGAAGATGGAGGCAGCATTCATGACAAATGAGCTGAGATAGTCAATGGTTTTTGGCTCTGTAGCATTGTGATATGCCCTGAATACACTGAATAGGACTTGTTTGCCTCGAGCACTTCACTCCAGCACTGCATGGGAAAGCTCTGCTCATGCTGTAATATGGCATTCAGCTTCTGCCAATTCATTTTGCTGACAAGGAACAATTATTTTCACAGAGTGGACCTCAAACAAAGTTTTATTCTTCATGCACTGAGGTGCAGGGTATTTTTATTGAGACTTTATTTAATGTGAGATCAGCTGTGCCTCACACTCATTCAGATTGTGACCTAATATCCCAAGAACTCTCCTCGTTTTAACTGCAGTTAACCGAGAGGTAAAGGGCATGAACAAAACCCTTTCATATTAGAGGTCAGTCAGACTGTGAGTACTTCCAGAACTGGGAGAAGCTAGAGAGGATCTTGTACCCATAAAGTTAGAGGAAATATAGACTTTTTTTTTTTTTTTTAACCTGGTAGTGGAATGCACTTTTGCAGGCCTGGTGATTTTATCCCATCAGTGATTCTAGAGTCCCAAAGCAGTGAGCTGCAGGAGGTTGTCTCTGTGGAGAGTGGAGAGACCATCCTGCAGTAACCAGCAGCATGTGGGTGACCTCTGAGGAGAGCTCAGAAGCTGCACATCACCCCACATGTCTCTGGAGATGCTCCGAGGTGGCAGAAAGACCAACTGCTTACCGTGAGCCATTGCTATAATCACTTTAACTGGTGTATTCACTTCTCCTTGGGAATGAAGAATATGGTTTGAAAATATTTTAAGATACTTCTTGAGGGACTTGCACTGAGTTGTAAACAGGTATAACAAACAAATGCAATATAAGGGTACTGCACAGCTAAAGTCAAGAGGAGTGAGGGATTTCAGAGCCAGAGAAGAAGTAGTGAAGAATTACTATTGGTTTGATAAAATTGAGAAAAGGAGAAAAAAAAACCCCAGTTATTTAAAGATGGGAAAGCAAGATACACAACTGACTAATTGCCTGAGACCAATCCAGAAGTCTTCAAGAAAGAGAATTCTTTCTATTTTGTACTCTAATAAAAGCCTATTTTTTTTTTCTCTTCATGAAGTTTTCTAAATATTTCTTTTTGAAGTATTAATTTACATTGCTGGTGTCATAGGAGATCAGAGTCTCAGTTATCCAGTCTTTGGTATAAATGAGCAGGCTATAATTTGTGTTTACTTTGATGCAGAGTGGATAGTGTTCTTTAAATACTGTGTGTAGCATCAACAGCATTAAATCCTGTGCCTTTGCATTTCTGGTTGTCTCTTCTTCCTATTTTAGTACTGCAAGTACATTTGCATTTTTCTAGTAGAAAACGACTTGAAATAGCAGGGGAGAAAATGCAGTATCTATGATAAAAGGAGGAGGGAGACATCTGGTGTTTTTTCTGTAAAACTGAAAAGGGTTTTCCCCCTTATGTGGAGTTTTACCAGGGTGCATTAAAATAGAATTTGTCAGTATCATCACCTCGATCTTGTAGTATATAAGCCAAAATAGTTACAATAAAACTCCTATTTGATCTCATCATACTCCATCAACAGCTATAAAAATGAGAAACTGTGTGCAATACAAGATCCAATAGATGGGAAAGCAAGATACACAACTGACTAATTGCCTGAGACCAAGCCAGAAGTCTTCAAGAAACAGGATTCTTTCTATTTTGTACTCTGATAAAAGCCTATATTTTTTTCTCTACATGAAGTTTTCTAAATATTTGTTTTTGAAGTATTAATTTACATTGCTGGTGTCATAGGAGACCAGAGTCTCAGTTACCCAGTCTTTTGTATAAAGGAACAGGCCATAATTTGTGTTTACTTTGATGCAGAGTGGATAGTGTTCTTTAAATACTATGTGTAGCATCAACAGCATTAAATCCTGTGCCTTTGCATTTCTGGTTGTCTCTTCTTCCTATTTTGGTACTGCAAGTACATTTGCATTTTTCTAGTAGAAAATGACTTGAAATAGCAGGGGAGAAAATGCAGTATCTATGATAAAAGGAGGAGGGAGACATCTGGTGTTTTTTCTGTAAAACTGAAAAGGGTTTTCCCCCTTATGTGGAGTTTTACCAGGGTGCATTAAAATAGAATTTGTCAGTATCATCACCTCGATCTTGTAGTATATAAGCCAAAATAGTTACAATAAAACTCCTATTTGATCTCATCATACTCCATCAACAGCTATAAAAATGAGAAACTGTGTGCAATACAAGATCCAATTAGACTGAGCACCAAGAGGTGAGCTGCATCTCATGGTGGAGTGTAGTCTCCAAGTAAATCTTGGGGAAAACTTGAATTTCCAAACTCAGTATCAGCATCCTGTCTGCAATATTCCAGTTGCAGTATATGCCTGAATGAGAAATGAACATATACCAAATAAAGCAGCTTGTTACATGTGGCTGTGTGTTGACACAGTTTCTACATGTGAGCATTAGGGGGGGTCTGTTGAAGGTGAGGGAAAAGTATCAAAAACCCAAGCAATGCGTCTTTCTGCAGCTTCCACATGACAGCTGAGGTCTTGATTTCTCAGTGTGGTGTTCTGCCACCTGAGCTTTCTGTCTTATTCATCATTTTGTGCAACTTTCTTTTGACAGTACCCACATATAAATCAAGAGTTGATATGTATAACAAAATAAATGAAAAGGTGCAGGAAAGGAATGATTGAGTTTCAGGGAATTGGGATTAGTTTCAAACACATTGCCCAGAGAGGTTTTGGATGCCCTACCCCTGGCGGTGTTCAAGACCAGGCTGGATGGGGCCTGAGCAACCTGATCTGGTGGAAGGCGTCCCTGCTCATGGCAGGGGGGTTGAAACTAGATGTCCTTTAAGATACCTTTCAATCCAAACCATTCTATTAGTTGATACGACTGAGAAAATAAGGGAAGAAATCTTGGAAGTGCTGTGGTTTCCACTTAAATTGTGCCTCCCAGTCAAGATCTTTTAATAGAGCACAACAATGAGGCAGCTGACTTGGACTGAAATAAAAATTACTCTCACTGGTGGTCCTGTGGAAAATCAGCAGCCTTTTCTGACTCACTAGGAACTGAAGACTTGGAAGTCATTGCCTTTCCCATCCATATGTAATTTTAAAATTGCAGCTCAATGCAAAGGGACCAGATTTATTTTCTGCTGGCATTTGATGCAGAGCACTGCAGGAAGACAAAAGTGCCTGTGTTGGCTTGGTTTCTGTGCTGTAGCTGTTTTGGTTACTGTCTCAATGATGTGTTTTGTTGAGACAATCAAATCTGATTCTTCTGTTCACTGGAAATGAGCGCAGTGCATATGAAATGTGATCTGCCGTTATCATGCAATAGGGGTATCTGCTTTGCATCAGGAAGTGTCAAAATTTTCAAATTCAATCAGGGACTCGAGATAAATGTCAAGAACAGAATATGAAGTGTGCAATTAAATTATCAATGGAAAAACAAAACTTTGTTCGGAATGGTTATTCCACTTTGAGTTCTTCCAACTTAGGGACAATTGTAGCTGGGCATTGAACTATTATTCCCTACTTGATTGGACTTTCTTTTATCTTTGTTGATGACCATATAATTTAGTCACTGTTCCACCTGTGATCTGACATATTACATGCTTATGACTCTGATTTTCTTCCTTAATGCTTTGTAAAGTATGAAGGGAAAACTAGTTACAGCATTTACTGGAAAATGTTGAAATAAGAAAATTGTATGAAACAATAGCAGTTCTAACAAAATAATGGATCTTTTGAATATAAAATAGCAAAGGAAATTCATATGCCTGTTTTTCATATCACAAACACCATATATATGTATATAACCTGTGGGTTTTTTTCCTTTTCCTCCCCCTTTTCCCATTAAGAATGGAGAGCTAATTCAGGATGAAGTTCAGAATCTGAAATGGAGGGCAGTCTCAGATTCACTCAGAAGCAGAGCTACTCAAACTCCAGTTGTGCTGCTACATGATAAAGAGCCTGGTATGCAAAGAAATATGAATTTTTGCTTTCATTTCTATGCCATCAAAGTGAAGATGATTTTGTTCATGGGGTGTGTGTGACTTAAAAGGTGTAAACCCTTTGAAAATCCTCCTAATCTCTAAACTGTATCTGGGGAAGGTGAAATGATAACTGTTTGCTACTATTCAAATATGAGCTTTCACAAGAAATCCTAGAACTTTCAAGAAATTTCAGAGGTGAGAGGGTACATTGTATGTCCTGGATGAAGTATAGTATTTGGGAATGCCATGCAGCAGAGAGATTTGCTCTTCAGACCAAACAATGTCAAAACTCTTTTCTTGGCAGATTATATCAGGTAAATTCTTCCAACATAAATTAATGGGAATTTTATCGCAAATTTTAGTGTATGTAAATGCAGACCTGCACTGAGTAATTTTAACCTGTGAATTTAATCCCTAAGTTTTCACCTGCCCACTGCAATGAAATATATTTTCCATTTCTAAATGCTTTGGGAACTGGAAACTGTGAACCCCAAATACGCCTTGGTTTAGACCTCGATACTTATGGGGTTTTTATGAAGCTCATTTTCGTGTCTGCCATCATGCTTGTATCTGTATCAGTGGTGATGTATGCTGCGGGTAGAGAATGCAATTTTGAGCATACTCTCACTAAAATATTTTTCTATTCAGAACATGTGCTTGGATGGTTTTGGGTTTGCTTTTTGTGTAACTACCTAGGAGTGACATTACATTTGCCAGTGCTTTATCATAACAGAAACACCAGCCTGTAGTTGTGAGGGACCAAAGCAGATGGAGGAGCTACCAGAAGACCTTGTGCCAGTTTTGGAATGCAGTTCCAGTGCCTTTGTGAAAGTTGCTGCTCTAGCTGAGACTGACCAGGTGAGAAGAAAAGTTACTGCTGTTCTTGCTGTCTTTGTGCACAGGGAGCAAGTGAAATTGGAGAGAAAATGAAGCGTTGGTGTATTTAAAGGTGAATGTAAAACTAGCTTTAAATCATAGCTACTACAGATGCTTTACAAGCTGTACACATACAGGTGTGCACTAAGACAATGGTTGACTTACTCATACCTAATTTGTAACATTACTCTCATTGCAAGTCTTTAAATTATTTGAAAACACTTTGTATGGAAATATTTTTTTCTCATCTGTCTGTAATCGAGTGTTTTGTCAATGAAGGAAAAAACAAAATATGATTAGTATGTTACTTTGCATATATTTTTGAGTTTCTCATTTGTTATTGTCAGGTCACCCTTGGACCACAGAGGGCAAATACTCTGGAGGACACTTCCACTTTGCTCAGGTGTACCCCAAGTATTCATGCAGCAGGACTGCTTCCCCCTTGTTCTGAGAAGTTACCTGATGATGAGACAAGTAAGGAAACCGAAGATGAAGAAAACCTTTTTCTCTTGAAGGAACATGCTATAACTCCACCAGTGAAGACATTCCCTGCTTCTGTGGTGGAAATTTTAATGAGGAAGGAGCTCCAACTGACCTTGTTTGAGCCTGGAAGGTGTCACATAACAGCTTTCACCACTGAGAAGAAAGTGAGGAATTTGAGTTTCTGTGAGACAAATACTAATCTTTGGTCTGATGGCCTTTGCATTGTTGCAAAAGGAGGATTTTATGACAGAGCTACTGAACTTCATGGAACGTTGCCTTCCACTGTGGCTGAAATTTTCACATCTATACAGGAATGCAACATGGAAAACCATTGGGGAAACAAGCAAATCCTGCCAGGAAGTGTGAGTGAGAACAAATGTCTAGATAAAGATGTTGATGATGAAAAGTATCACCAAAAAATCTTCACAGGGAGAGCTGAAAGAGAAGAAATACAGAATGACAAAGCCCAACAACAACAGGTGACCTGTGGTCTTGAGGAAAGTTCTAAAATTTCCTACAAAACTGAATTATTCAGTCCTGGGAAGCAAGGAGTGGAAGCAAAAGAGAGTCTCCATAGCCCAGAGGGTCCACAGAGTTTATCTGTTGATTTTAAAGGCTTTAAAAAATGTTTCAAAGGGAGTTCTGAACGAATGAAGAAAGAAGAAAATATTTCAGAAAACCGCATCCCTGATGTGAATAGTGGATGTAATGGAGAAGACATAATTGAAATGGAAGGGAAAGGAAAGCAGGCTCAGAAACCAACTCACCAAACAAGACCCTCCAGCAATATTGGCCTGACAAAAAGGAAAGACCAGACCTTGAAACTATGTGAACCAAATAAGAATTTCTCATGTCAAAAAATAGCTGCTAAAAATGTGCAACATGAATGCTCTCAGAATTTTTTTTCATTGAATGAAGAGACATATCCACTAAACTTGCTGTTTTCTATGCAAGAGGGGCCTGTGTGCTTAAGCAAACTATTCCAGCCAGGGAACAGTTTTTGTAAGTGTTTCTGTCATCTGTCAACCTGGGAAGCTGGAAATGAATGTAATGTGAGAATATCTGGGCTGGAAAAGGCAGTGGCTGCATATTCTCAGAGGATATTTCTGCTGATGCAAGAGAATGAGAATTACTCCAAAAAAGTCTGTATTTTGCAACAGGAGAATGACAGATATGCTCAGATGATGTGTGCCCTTGAAGAGGAGATGGATGCATATTTTCAAAATGTTCTAGCAGCAGGTGAAGCTAATGTTCTTTCATTCCAAAACTTACTTAATGAGAAAGAAGTTGCTGGTGGATGTTATAATAACTTTACAGAAGAAAGTACCATGACCCCAGGAACATTTTTAGTTGCAACTTTTTCTAAGAATCTCTCATATGTTGAAGAGAAAAACAGGAATTCTGAAAAAGACTCATGGACAATTGCATCAAATAAACTTCATGGGAGCGTTCTATCCCTGAATAGAAGGAAAATTAGGTACTTCCAGCTGCTTTCTGACCTGAAAGAAGAAAGAAGCAGGTGCTTCAAAGAAATGGCTAAACTATTACAAGACAAGGAGAACTATGTAGCAAAATACAATGAATTAATGCAAGAGAGAAAGAGAAATTTACAAAGAATAGCTCTTTCAGAAGGTGAAAAAGAAACTTTGTTGGGACATTTGGCAGAGATAAAGTGTGAGCAAGACAAATACAGGACCTTAGTTTCAGAACTCCAAGACTGCAAAACTAGCTGTTATCAAACCATTTCTCACTTACAGGAGGAAAAATGTGTACTGCAAAGAGAGATAGACAGAATCAAGCAAGAAACTTCAGAACAGCTTGATCAATTTCGGAAAGCAAATGCAAACTTTATTTTAGAAAATAAAAATTTAAAAGAATTAATGTCTTCTTTGGGTTTCACCTATGAAGAACTGAGAAAAGAGAAAAGTATAGGAACAAAGAAAAATATAGTGAAACTAAAAGAAGAAAGTCAACAACCTGGTCTTAAGCCAAAGAAAGTTGAAACAGCATGTAGTGTAACACAAACTGAAGAACAGGGAGCTCTGGCTGTAGATCCTTCAGGTTATTCCCCTGGGAAAAAGGTAAATAATAGCAGTAAGGAATGTTATCAAGCAGGATCTGCTAAAGAAAGGGAGATACAAATGTCATTTGGAGGGCAAAGTTGAGTGATGGAGGAAACTTTAACCTCTTAACATGAGCTGAGGTGCTAAAGTTAACTTCGAAATAGGAGGCAAAATGCCAGAGAGGGTTTTTTTTTGAATGTTGTATTAGAGACTGTTAAAGTGATACAGCAAGCTACAAAGTTAAAAATAATACTCAAAAGACTGCACTGTTCAGGCTTTTAAAAAAATTATTTATGCTATTGCAAGAGTAAAAGCTTTAACAAGAAGCTTTTATTCTACTACAAGTTTTCCTAACAGAAGGAAACTTTTTATAATAGTGAAATTAGCATGTTTTGGTGACCATTTACTAATTTTTATTTTTATTTGATCTAATTTTTTATTGTTTTCATGTTTATGAAGCATATCTCTAAAGACAGGGTCTTTACTCTTGGAGGATTTCTTATCCATGTTTTTTCTCTGTAGTCATATATCTTACACCACAGTGAATTTCTGTGGAGATTACTATGTACTTATAAATGCAAAATTACTGCTTCACTTGAGAATAGTCAACAGGGAAATATTTATATGTAATGCCTTGATTTTATGCAACATTTTTGTAGTAGTTTAAGAGGAAACCATCTATTGTTCTATAAACAGCTGTGTGCCATTTGGTGAGAGGTGACAGGAGTCATCCTGTCTTTTTTTTCTATGCAGGGCAGCATGTTTGAAAGCTACAGTATGATGAAAGAGCAAGTTGGAAAGGTGGAAGAGAAACTAAAAATACAGCAAAAGGAATTAGAAAAATCAAAAAAAGAGGTAACCTTCTACCTCTTCTGAGGACCAAATTTGTTTTTTCTTGTGTTTTCTTACATGGCTGTCTTCTTTCTACCAGGCTCCAACACTTTCACAAAACAGGGAAGTCTCTGATCTGCAGAACCAAAATGTTCCTCTGATCTTTGAGTGATGAATGGCACAGTGACCCTTGGCTGGCCAGAACATCAAGTGCAGCTGCATTCCTGCAGCACACTGTGCCAGAGGCTGAGTGCCCTGACAAAGGCACACACAGCAACCTGCCCACTCTGGCCATCTCTGGGCAGCTGCTTCCCTCCACATCACTGGGAGTGAGGAGAAGGTGGTGGAAGCACTGAGGGTTACTGCAAACCTGAATTGAAAGCAGTTTTTGAGTGAGAAGCCAGATCACTGTCAGGGGTTTGCTGCATCCAGAGGCCTTGCCAGCCGTGCTGCCCCTTCTCTCCACAGCTGTGTAGCAAACACCAAGTCCAGCAACACCTGCTTGGAGACTTCTCTGTCTGTGTGAAGTAAATCTGCACTTTTGACACCATCCGAGGAAGCTTTCAGTGTTGTGCCTTTCTGAATGCAGTAGATATCCACATTCCTATTTTTTATTAATCAGTCTCCACTCCATGCACACCAAAGCAGAATGTAGTGTTTTTATGGCAGGTGTGTATTTATGGGGCTGTAACAGACATCACTCACATGCCCTGTGGACAAACCATTGGCAGCAGCAGGTGTGTTGAGTATGTAAAAGAAAAACAGCAATAGGGTTTTCGTGGTGGTTGTATGAAATTATTGTCCTTTGACAGCAGCTTTATAAGACTTCCCAGCTTTCAAGTAAGGCAACTGGAGTGAAGGGATTGATTTAGATGACTGTTGGATGGTTAGACAAGGACTTCTGACCTTATATTTTGAACATAAAGAGACAGTCTTATTTCTATTTCTTTTGTAAAATCTGATTAACTTGGGTCCTTCTAATCATTTTGTATGTCATAAGGAAGTCCTGTTTTAAAATACTTTTCTCAGTTTACTTAAAATAATGTGAAACCTTTGCTTCCAGATGGGAGAAAAAATGATATATCATAGAAAGGAAAGAGCTTGCTGTCAGGCAACCAGCTGAGCTATTGAGGGCTTCTTTGTGGTTTTTGGTTCAGGTTTGCTTGTGTTTTCAAAACTACAGTTAATGTGTATAAGTGGAATGAAGGCAGCCTGGAAAAAAATTAAAAGGTGAGCATACAGAGGGCTTCCCCCCCCCCCCCCCCCGCCCCTTTTTGCATTCTTTCTTTTTGACATTTTTGTTTTGATTCTCATACTGAATTAAACACTGCATTTTGTCAGCTGCTAAGGAGAAAATTAACTCTGTCCCAGTTAAAACCATGGCACACTCCTCAAGAAGACTTTTCCCCCCTGCCCAGCTAATAAAAAACTTGCTTTCACTTTGCTCTGAGGGCTTTCAAATATGTAATCTCTGAAATCATGTGTGCATACACCACTGCTTTTTTAAACTTTATTCAGAGTATTCATGGTACCTTTAAATAATATTTCTGGCATAGCTCTAGTGAGATAGTCTAGAGGGTATACTTCTAGATTGCATTAATATTTATGATAAGATTGTAGTGTATTGTATAACTTCATTTATTTTAATCAATTTATAACAATTCAAAAGCTATAATGTAGAAAGCAGCCTCAAATCCATGCATGTAAGCTGGTATTGAGAAAGGATACCACTGCTGGACTAATTATACTCAGCAATTTTTGTTCTTCCTGTTAGGCTCAGAAGTGGTACAGAGAGCTTGGTTTTGCTGAAACAAGATATGAAGAAACCAAAACTCGTTTGATGCAGGCTCTCTCGGAATTAGACCACCTTAAGCAAGAAGTTGGGGACAAAATGCAGGGAAAGCAGAACTGCAAATTAATGGTATGTATGTGAATGGCATGGAGAAAAGCACGGTCCTTGGGAGGAGGCTGCTGGCTGCAGAAACACTGGTATTGGGAATAGATTTTAAGCAATTTTAGTGGCCTCTCCAGCCACTGAAAACTTAAATGAGAGCAGATGTTATGCAAGGTAGACCATCTGTCTGCAGAATAGTCCAGATCTGGGCTCTGTATGGGCAATGTAAACACCTCACTTTTTTATTTAGGAGGGCTCTTGTTCTGCTCTCTTTAGCCAAAGTCATTTTCAGGTGGCCTAAATGAAAGGTCTTGGAGGAGTCTGCAGTGTTTTGCAGTATTTGGCCTTTTTGCCCTGATTTCAGGCCTTGTAGCCCTGATTGCTGGATTTGGGCAGGCAAAATGACACTGTGGACAGATGGTGTGGATTAAAGTCAAAGTCTTAAATGGAGGCATGTGGCCCAAATATGTGTCTCCAAAATCCAGGAAATCTTTCTATCTCACTGGAATGTGTTTATATCACAGAAATTCTGGTTTTGCTGTAAATTAAACTTTTTTTAATTTTCAGGTGGTTCTCTGTCTTGATACAGGTTTATATTTTCCACCAAAATAAAGTGTTTTATGGAAAGATGTTTAATTACTGAATAATCTTCTGGAAGCAGCTTTTACAATGACTTTTTAGCTAACCCTGTAATTATTTTTGCCATCCTTAACTGGTGAGCTGCAAAGAAGTAATATGCAATTTCTACTAGGTGGAAAAGCACATTTGTAGCAATCTACAAATATTTGTAAATTTCATTTTGAACAGGTTGGATAGATATGGCTTTAGAAAATAGAAACAAATTCTGGAAAATATGAGGATTCTGAGACAGTTCAGTTGCCTGAATGTCACTGTTTATCCTAGTTAAAGGCCTTAGGACATCCTGGCTGAAGGTGTACGTAGCCAGGGAGTCCTAGGCAGTTATTTCATGGCACTATGGGCTGGTGTTTATACAGCTGAATTCAGACTTTGAAATGAAAAATTTAAAAGACTTTTCATGTCATTCTGATGTATTGGCATGTAGCATCCTAATAGTATAGAATCTATTTCAAGCAAGAAGAAATGCCTAAAGTGTTTGAAAATAAAAATAAATGTGTCACCTGTTTTGTTTAAGCCATCAGATAAGATTTTGGGTGCATTTTTGGGAAACTGAGCTTTAATCCATTTTTTTAGGGACTGTCTGGGGCAATTAGTGTTTATTATGTTGGCCATTGAAGTAAGATGGTAATTATTCCTATGACTCACATGGGAATAAAATTCATCAACCTTGACAGAATATTTTTACACTGGAAGAAGTGCAGGTCAGCCTTTTGCTATAAAACCCTGCCACTTTTAAATCCCTCCAACAACTTATGTTTTCAAATTAGTGTTTATTGATCAGTAGGATAAATTTATGCAATACTGTGATGCTGTTTGGTTTAGGTCTGACTTAAGTGTCAAATTTTTGAATATGGGTGTCTCATTCCAGGGTCAAAGATGCCGTCCATGTACTTCACAGAACTAGGTTTATCCTTCAGTTGCAGAACTAATGGCAGAACTAATTATATGCATTACTCTAGTCCATTATGCTTTAACCAAATAATATTTATTTTGTTGGCACAATTTAGTGAGTAGTAGAATAGAAAATAAAGTAGATATATCTTAACAAAGGTCAACTTTATTTCAATAATTCACTTTTAAATAAACTTTTTATTATACACCGAGCTGTTGGTAGCAGGTTTGTGTGAGGCCTTAAAATATGAGATAAGTTTTTCTAGAGTAAATTTTAAAAAAGGCTTTTTGTAACAGAAAAGATCCTGATCTACTTTTTAGCATCATGTTACTCCTGAGGGCAGTTTTGTTGACTGGTGATCCAGTTTTTGTTTTCAGTTACTTTCCACCCTTGACCAAAACTCTTCCTCATTATTCAAGGTTACTAATAAACCCGTATACAGTCGATCACAGTAATTTATGCTTTTTCCTGTTCTAAACTTCATTTTTCTGGAACACCTCTTGCTGCGATGCTTGAAAGAAGTGAAGATGTGAGTACTCTGGGCCTAGAACACCAAGTGTTTGAAATATGTCATGTGTTGAGTGTTTAGAAAAAAAGTTTTAGAGCTTTTTGCATTTCTTATGTTCTCCAGGCCCTGCTGCCCAGGGATCCTAGTTGTCACCTGAGATTCCATAAGGCTGATATTATAATGATAGTATTCATTGCAAGTAAAAGAGAGCGAAGATAATATATTTGAAGCTTACTGCTAGGACTCTATTTCAGTGAAGTTGCTAACAGGTGAAATATGCTTTAGCCTAGCAGCATTTGGATGAGTTTTCTGGGATGTTGAGGTGGTGCTGTGGTTGAATTTAAGAGAAATATGGGGGTGAGCAGGAAGGGGGCAGGGTAATGTTTTCAGCTTTAAAAATTAATAGAAGAATTTTGTATGAAGTGCACATAATAAATGAGGCACCAGGCTACCCTAGTGAACTCCTGATGACTGTCTGCAAAAAAGGCCTGTAGCAAAAAAGGTCATATTCCTTCTCATTTTCTCACTGAGTTTTCAGACAAGCACAATTCACATAAGAAGAGGAATATACTGGTTTTCTTTTTAATGTTTAGCTACCAACTTCAAAAAGTAGTGGTCTTGCCAGGTTTTACAAGAATGCAGTGTGTTAAATGCTATGTTTTAGGCTTAGTTATCCTTTGGTTATTTCCCAGTCCCAGCTGCTGGGTCCTTCATCCTTCTGGAGCTTGACTACATAACCTAGAGTCACTGCAAACTGGGACATCTGAAGAGTGCTCATCAAAAATCTTGTATGCCCCATTTGTGTGTTGGAACTACAGGAAACTGCTGGTGGGTCAGCCAAACGCAAAAGAAGAGGGAACGTCTCTCTGTCTCTAGCCCTCACACAGTTGTTTTACTTCCCCACTTTTTTTTTCCATAAAGCATCTTCAGTTAAGGAGTGTTTCCCTTTTGGTTTTAACACACTTCATGTGGGAGAGAAGATAAGGGAAATACCATGTCATGGACTCATCCTCAGGCTTTTGTCCCTGCAGCCCTGGTCTCATCCATCGTGATGTGTCCAGCTGTTCCTATTGTTCTCCTGACACAAGAGGGAGCCAGAAAATTTGGTACAAAGCATCCAATGCTGTGCACAGAGGACTGGCTTCACGAGGAGGAGCACTGTGACAGTGACATATTTCTGGTTTAATCTGTGTTGCAGTGGTGGGCTGCAGGCACAGTAACGTGATCTATCAGCTCAGCGTGCTGTTCCCTATGGAATGGTGCCTTCAGGGTGTTGTAGTCAAAGGTGTCAAAGCCAGAAAGGCAGGGAAAAATTTACTGTTGTGTTGTGCATCAGGGCTGAGTATGAACTTCTCTCTCATTTGTATCAATGTTTGTAACTATTAAAATCAAACCATCATTCTGTTTTTTCAGAAAGTTATATGGTTTTACCACAGTATATCAGGGGTCTGACTATAATTTTTAGATTAATCTTTTAAACTTGCTTATATACTGGTACTTATATTATCAGAAATCTTGACCAGCTGTATGTATCAACTCAGTTTTTTGTTTGTTTGTTCGTTTGTTTTTAATATAATAGCATAAGTGTTTTTCAGGATACTTCCCTCTCCTTCAGATTTGCCTCATTCTAAATCTATATGTTTAATCAGGCAGTGCCACTTGTAGGAGCTGACCTTGTGATGCTGACCATCAATCTAAAGCTCTCACTAATCCTTTCAATCTAAGTGCATGAAATTGGGGAGAAAAGAAATTGAAGAAATTGAAGAATTGGGGGAGGAAAGAAAAGAAATTGAAGAGTGGGGGAGGAGGAGTTAAATTCAGAAGCTTCTTTTTCCACTTGTTCTGTATCACTATTACATTTTAATGTAAAAATATTATTTAGAAATTTTTACTTAAGATCTGATTAGTTTATTAATAATCTTACAGAACAAATAAATATTTGGGAGAGTGGAATTATCTCACTGAGATAACTATATGTAGAAAAAGAAGGGTCATATTGCTTCTTGTTGAAGCAGGAGACTGGGAACTTCTGAGTTTTTCCTTACTCGCTGTGTGACCACAGATTGGTCACTTCATCTGTCTTTGCCCAGTTTCCCCATTTATTAAATCATTGCAACACATATCTTTACCTTGAAGAAATGTTGTGAGAATCCAATTCTGTGCTTCTTCTCACAGAGGTCAAGTACTCTTTGCATAAAAGTAGTTTAAGATTAGTGCAACATATTAGTGCTAATATGTTCATGAAGATTTGGGATCATTTATATCAGCTTGCTTCTTTTTGGTGTACAAGGTAGGCAGTTATATTGATTGAGAAGTCTTGTGGTATAAGACATGATTAAGAATATTTTTGTTGGTTTATACACCTAAATTGAAAATCTGTGTATTTTCTCTCTAGCCTGTGTACTCATTGAAGGATGCCCTGGAAAAAGAGGTGAATAAAATAGCCAGTAAGAGATTGGAGCAGCAAGTGTTGACCTTGAAAGCCCAGCTCAGGGACCAGGCTGCATTACAAAATCAGTTTCATGACTTGCAGAAGGAAGTGGAACTCTTTCAGGCTCAGCTGTGTGAAAAGGTATAAAATTGTTTTCTGTGTGTTTAAATGTGAGCTTAGACATCACATTCTATATCTGTCTTTTCAAAGGGGAGAAGCAAAATAGTCTTCTTTCCTGGGAATGAATCTGAGGATAGTTAAATGGTTTCCAGGCATATAAAAGTACTCCTGACTTCAGAGAAAGAGGGAGAAGATGTAAACTGCCTGAGTGATCCATGTTATGGAAAAATGATAGATGATTATGAAAATTCAGTCTCTGCTCTAATTAATCCCCATAATTTAATGCAAGAACAGTGATGCTTTACATTTAAATTCTTTACAGAGCAACGTCCTTGGCTTAAATTGTCAGGATTTTTTAACATTCACGACTCTCTTTTTCCGCTATATCAGATTATGAAATTCCAAGCTAATAATACAATTTTGATAGAGTTTTCCTATCAAATTTTCCTAGAGTTTTTGGTTCCTCTGCTAGTGTTACACATGAAGAGTTTCCGTATTTTCAGATAGGTGTGTGGTTTGGATTTTTGTCATAGTTATTCTGATGAGACCCCACTATGTATGCACAAATGCACTGACACAAGCAGTTTGTACACTTGTGCATTATATTTCCCCTGGCAAACCAAAGCAGGTACATTAAGATTTGCAAAGCTGCTGCCATACAGTGTGACAGCAAAGCTGCTGCTGTAAGTGTGACTACAGCTACTGAACTCTTGGGTGGAAACAAATTCCTCCTATGACTTCTTTCCCTTTGATTTTGTTTCCTATTGGGGGCTATATTTTGGAACAGGATAATAGTTACAATGTGAGCCAAATTGGAATTGCCCATCAAGCTCCGAAACAGCTACTAAATGGCATGTTCTCAATAGTGCTCTTTGTTCTTCATAGCCTGATACAACGAGTAGAACATGCTTCTACTCTGAAATACAAGAGGTTATTGTCTTCTCCCTACTGGGAACAGGTTTCATTCCACTTTCTCCACAGTAAACCCATCTTTCTACAATTTTGGTTTCTGTTTTGTTGTTTGTCTGTTTGGTGGTGGTAGTTTTGTTTTGTTTTTCCTAGCCTCACCCTGTGCTGTGGTTTGCTCCAAACCAGTCCTGTAAAGAGGGTTAGTGGCTTCTCTCAGGCATGGCTTAGGGGATGCCTCTTAGAAGAACAGTGCTGGTAAAATGAAACTGTTTTGTAGTGTCTGGTGTCACCTCAGGTGGTAGGTGAGTAAAGAGTGAGATGTGCTGTCCATATAAATGGACAGATCCTAATTGTTCTATTGCATCAGCAAGATGTGTTGCTCCCTGCCTCATCAAGAGTTGAATGTCTTCAGTTCAGGGACCTACTGCCAGCTCTTTGTTTGTTCCCCCATGCTAGTGCAATGTAAAGACATATTTCCCCTGTTCTGCCTGCTCTGATTCCTCCCAAGCCCACAATTTATTAGCTGAGGACAATGTGACCTTTTTCAGCATAACTGATTTCTCATAAAGGAGAGTTTTTTAATGATTAATATAACATACTTACTGTAAACTTTATAGAAAATAAATTGTCAGGCAAAATAAATGCAAAGGAATTTGTACTTTATTGTCAAAAATACTGTATTGATTCATAATGGTGATGAATTTTATGTCACAAGGTACTGTATTTTTTTCTGCATAATCAGAAAGGAGGGTTATCATCAGTAGGTTTTAATCATAAGGTACAGACTAAGTAATCTGGCCCACCCTGCTTCACCTCCTAAGAGAGGACATGTGTCAGCTGTGTCAGAGTAAAAGGTTGTTGATCTTTCCTTTCCAGAGTAGAATATACATGCAGAAAATCCCTCCTCTCTTCTCTAATTTTACAGTATAATATTGATAAGGAAAGGGAAAATTTTTCCCTAATGAATGTTTTGGAAGATTCACAGAGTAAATATGAACATGAGTGCATAATGAAGGATACCAACTCTACTGTGATGCTGCTTTGATTAAATAACCTCACTGATCTAAGGCTCCATCTAAGAACTTCCAAAAGCCTTTGTTAATTTTTAAGACTAATGCTGATGTGAGTAGGGCAGTGTTTTTATGCCAGAGCCTATCTGTGTGAAGCCAGTGCCTTACACTGATTCATCCTGTTTGTGTGATACAGGCTCACACAGATATGCAAAGTGTACACCTCAGACTCAGGTCTAAAACAAATACCAAAAAACTGCTGGAGTATTTCAAAGTAATTATTGAATAAATTGATGCAGGATATTTTTCCATGTTTCAGGAGAAAGAACTGCAGAAGAGGAAGTCTGAAGTGAAGTTGACATTAGCTCCTCTGAAGGTACTGTGTTTCCCTGAGCACTGATACCTGCACAAGGGTATCCCTTTGCTTGGAGGTTCTGTGCCTTCCTTCTGCAGGTGTCCCTGGTTAGCTGGGTGCTGCTGGCCTTCACCTCAGACAAGGGCTCACTGACATCATTGCAAGGTGACTTTCTGCCTGTCCAAAGGGGAACCTTGCACATGGAAAGGGAACATCTCTTTCCGGTTTTGTCTGTGCATGTATATTGCTCTTGAAGGTGTGGAGGCATCTAATAATGTAGAGACACAGGAATACAGTCTATAGCTTTGGGTCAAAATGTGGAATTACAGATCAGACACAAAATGTAATCTTGCAGTCTGAGAAGGGAGTGAAATGACAGAACCATGGGATGTTTATGTGTTCATGCCACACAGGCTAAGCTGGCTTGCCTCACCCAAAAGTGCCAGGAAAGGAACAGCTTCATTAGGAGAATGCATGATGAATTCCATAGGCAAGGATTTATTAACTCTGCATTTGATGAAGAGATGAAGAACCTGGTGAATGACATGACCCTGGCGGAGTACACGGTTGCTTTTACACCAATGTGTGATCAAGAGGTAAGTGCTCATACTTCTTTGTATGATCCTCATGTGTACACTATTGAATTAAGTGGTGGTTTTCAAAGTGTTTAGTGAGACATAATGTGTAATTACAAAATATATCTCACTGCTTAATAAAAGTATTGCTTCAGACAAATCAGTGGAGGTGGCCATTTTACTGTTGTTGTAGGCAGGGTCTAAATTTCAGGAGCTTAAAGCAAAGTGCATCAATGTTCCATGCAAGAAACACTCCCCTGGTATTTTTGACTAAGTATTTGATGGATAATGCAGCACATATTACACAATTTCATATTAAATATGAATTTTGCATTCCTTTCCTGCACAATGCATAGTTTCAGATTTCTGAAGAAGTCAGGAAAAAAAAGGTCAACAGTGAATATTTTAAGACTTAAGTCAACTCAGTGGACATTTGTATTCAAAAGGGAATTAGTCACTTGTGTTTCTCTGGCAAGGCAAAAGTGGGAAGCAGTCTGTTTCACACCTGGCTCTATTCAATATTGTCATTATATGGCTGCTGAAATAAACATCCTAAGTTTGGAGTAGCACCTACTTGAAGACTTCCTTAAGGACAGGAATCTCAGCCTGGCAACCTAAAGAAACAGGAATTCCCTTGCAGTGCTTCAGTGTCCATCAACAAGTTCTTTTTTCTTTTGATTTTCTGTTTATTTTTTTTTTTTTAAGCCTGTAAAAGTACCCAAACAATATTTGGTAACATTTGTGTCAAGTACACTCAAGTAGAATCTTTTTGGTTAAAAGTGGAGTAAAGGGAGGAAATACTGTATGTTACACATTTGTATAATATTATGTGCTTGTCACAACAGAACACAGAATGTTGGTTCATACTATACATTGTACTCAGCTGACACAATGCACTGCAAAATGAATATATAAAAATAATTTATCTTAATGACACTTGACATTTTCACCAGCAGTAGATGCTCAAAATGGGCATATAGTATAGTAAATGCTCTGGTATTTTTCTGATAATTTTGCATTTTTACACACAGAGTGGTGTTCTGTATCGTGTTGATAGTGCTTATACTTACAGTGTCACTAAGTGTTGCAAGCTGTCAGTCATACTTGTTTTTGTGGCCAAAAGCAATTTAACTGCATGTTAAGGAAAAGGTGGATTGATTCCTGGCTGCAGGATGGGACAGGACTCTGTGTCTGGCTGTGTCTCCTTGAGTACCTCAAGTGTGGGTCCACCACTGCCTCACCCAAGCTCCCTCTGCACAGGAGTGTTTTATGGAGCTCATCTGTCAGAAGGGAGACAGTACTCCACTGCCTTCAGACTTTTCTCAGACACTGCTGTGATAGATGAGCATTAGTAAAGCTTGCCAATGCAATAAATATCAAAATACTGTTCACACTCACACTGTCTCCCTAAATGTTCGATTATCACAAAACTTAGCAGGTTCAACAAGAGAGAATTGGATTAAATATATATTCTGATAGCCAGTGAACTTATGTGCAGCATAGATCCCCACATTAAATCCCCTGCTTTGGCAGATATTTAGCTGTTCATACTGAGTGGAGTGCAAGCCCCTTCCATGGTGTCTAGCACCATAGTGACCAGAGGTCTCACTTAGGCTCAGGCACAAATAGGATTCAAGCCTGGAGTTTTTTATCATGCAAAGAACAGTGTGGCTCTTGCTGGATGTCTTCACTCTGAGCTTGAAGGCTCTTGTGGTCTGTGATAAGTACTTCCACATATAACAGGAGGAAACTTTCCTATCAAGGAAGAGTTGCATGTTCTCATAAAAAATGTCTTTTTCTATGCATTAGGTTTCCGGTGGAAGACACTTCAATGAAAAAATTTGCAAGTTTCGCTACTACTAATCTAATAATATTTACAATAAAAAAATAAAAGAGAGACTGTTTCATATTCATGTGATACATTCCTTTGGTTTAAAAGATCTTGTACTGAATTCTGTAGCCATATGTTTAAGTGAACTAACTTTTCATCTTGGAAGTTTTATTTCTTGCTTTCAACTGCTATTCTCACTGGACTTCACATCTAAGATTCCAGAGCTAAGCCCAACATCCACTTACATAAAATTCCTTTGAAAGCTCATTCCTTCCTTCCCCTCAATTTTTCATTCCTACAGCATTCCTAACATTAGAATCCTACTATACAAAACCTGGTGGATTGTTGTCTTTTTTGGTTTTTTTGCTTTATTTTCCTTCTTAAATTAAAGATTTGCAATTGGCTTTACTCATTACTGGACCCAGTAACAAGTGGAAGCCTGTCACACATTGGCAGCAAACCTCTGTGCCTTGACTTACTGATGAATTTCAGCTCAAAGTTTGCAGTGATGCATGAAGAATGGATCCAGAGCCTTTTGAAGGGAAAGGGGACTCTACTCAATTCACTGCCTGGCCTTTTGTAGTTCAGTAAAAAACTCTGAGTCATGTTCTCAGACAAAAAAAGATGGTTCATAGTTCTATTAAGAACTCTTTTTTTTTTTTTTTTTTTTTTTTTTTTTTTTTTTTTTTATCTGCACATGAAATTACAAGTAGAGGGGATAGAGCTGCTTCAGCTGGGTGCTGGGTGGGGGACTTATGGGCACCACCAAGCTACTCATGGTCACAGACCAAGGCAAACTTCAGTTCTTTCCTTGTTCAGGACATAATGGATGGTTGGTCATTTCCTTCTGTTTGACAGAAGTATTTTCTCCCTAATTTTCATCCCAATTAAAATACTAAACCACAAAGATGGTGTTATGCAAAACCCATTGTCTTTGGAGCTTCTCCTCAGAATTCACTTTCAGCATTCAAGGCTCTGCTCAGACATGATAAATCCCTGTTGTTCCTATGGCTTTATTTTGCTGACTAACTCAAGGCTTCCATCAGTTCAGTTCAGCAGAGCAGCATACATTTTGAGGCTTGTCATTCGTGATTATTTTCACAGCCCAGGGTTACATTCAAATGTGTGTGAGTGAAAAATAAAACTTGCTTGAATCATGTAGTATCTCATAATTTTGTTCCAGCAGTGCACTCTTCAGTGAGGTCAAATATATGCTAGAGTATTGTGTTCATAAAAGAAAGCCAGTTTTCCTTCCCTGAATAAGTCCCTGTAAAAAGGACTAGGTTCTGAATTACTTTTTCTCATGATAAAACTGTACACCATGGAGCTCTTTATTTGTAATTTAGTTTAATTAAGCAATTTAGTATAATTTAATTTAATTTTAGTAGGTTTTTATCATAATAAACATATATGATTGCATGGAAGGGGTTTTATTTCAATTCTTTTTCATCCACCACCGTTTCAATTCTTTTTCACTCACCACCATTTCATTTTGGTGAAAGCAAAAATTCTGTGCAGGATGGTGAATAAATGCTGCCTCTCAGTTTTAAAAAAAGTCATCTTTTGGGCAGTCATTGAAACGACAATCTATGTCTAATACAAACTTGAAATTTTTGGGGGCACAAAGAAGTTAATTTCTAAGGCTTTGTGATATATTCTCTTTTTAAAAGACTTGAGAAACCATGGCAGCCCATTAGAGTGGAGCGATAATAAATTTTGGCAATAGAAATATTTTAAAACCTTATCTTGTTTTGTGTCTGGAAAACAAAAAGCATGTGGCTGAAGAGGACACATTCCTGGGACAAGGGCTGCCTCCAGCGGGTACACGTGGCACTCGGCACAGTGCCATGGCTGGGATTCACATGCCCGATGTCAGACACAAAATGTGTGTGCATGTTTGGCCTTTTGTCATGTCCCATTTTAATCACCTCCTTTTGAATGCTGAATTTTTTTAATTGGAAGGACCTTGGCCTCATCTTTCTTTTTTTGCTTTTGCAGAATTAATTCATGGACATTATTAGCAGTTATTGTTTTTCTGCCTTTCCCAGTGAAAAGAACACAGGACAGCATTCATCAGCTGATCTTGGACATTCATGTTCACAAAACATCTAACAAAAAAGGACTGGGACTTGGCTTTGCAACATCTGCTTTACTTGGGATGGTAAAAGTGGGAAGCAAGAGGAGATGTTCCAGATGAGTAATAGGATGTGTGAAAGAGGAGGCTGGATTTTTTCCTGAGTTTAAGTGTCTACTGGCAGTTTAAGGGCCAGGATTTACCCTTTCTGGCTGGCTTGGGCATGAGGCAGTGTCCATGCTGCTTTTGATGGATCAGAGAACCACACAGAGGAGCAAGTGAGCTTGGCTCCCCTTTCATATGGACTCAGCCCAGTCAGTGCAGTTGCGCAATATTTTGGGCCTTTTCTCTCTCTTTTGGTCTAGGTGTGGAGAAAAAGGAGTATGTTTAATTCTTTCCTTCAAATGATTGAACAAACAGCCTCTGTCTGGATGTCTGTAATGGAAAATGCTGCTCATCAATTTCTCTTGTGCTGGAACACTTTGACCTGATGATATATTTTATATATTCTTTCCATTGTGGCTGTTTGCCCTCATTTCTTGGGGCTGAAAGGGAATTTGTGCAAGGAATGTAGGGATAAATGGTAGTGCTTTTTAATGCTTTTCATGCCGTCATCTTAAACGTTGTGGATGGAAAGCTCCAGGCAAGGAATGTGTCCAGTGCAGTGAATTGTTTTACAGAATAAGGATTAAATGCTCAGAACAGCATAGCTTAATTCTTCTTTCTGTCAAGGGATTTCTTCTGAGGTATGTTTTGGTAGAACAATGATTTTTGTTTGTTTATTGGTTTGTATTTCTACTCATTACTTTGCAAGTTTCCAGTGAACTGTATTTGAAGATAATAGTCCTAAAATAAAATTCTCTGATGCTTTCCTTAAAAAGGTTTGTGTGTGGCTGTTAAGGTCAGAGACTTTTCTGGCACTGAGGGTGAGATACATTTCCTATATGATGTCTGTACTTCTGACAGTCATCTGTGGTAGTTTATCTATTTATTTTCATCATTAAAGCAAAGACATTCTTCCAAGGAATTATGCTGCCCATTTTATGTACCTGCTTTAGGTAAGTGCAGGTGACTGAGCACTGACAGGCTGCCCAGAGAGGGAGTGGAGATCACTGGAGATCTTCAAGAACCATCTGGGCACAACTCTGTGCCATGTGCTCTGGGGTGGCCCTGCTGGAGCAGGGAGGGTGGAGCAGATGACCCAGTGTGGTCCCTTCCAGCCTGACCCATCCCGGGATTCTGTGATAAGGTGGGACGAGCCATAGAAGTTGGACTCCAGTGATTGTCAAGGGGGCCAGGGGAAGATACACTTTGGTTTCATGAGTCCCACCCTCCAAAGGCAGAAAGAATTTAACTTTGGGCTTTCAGTCTTTTTGGGACAAGGCTGATTAAGGAACCTCTCAAGAGAAAGGTTTCTTTGCAGGAAGAGGCTTTTTTTTTACCTGACATTATGAAAAACATGCCTTGAATCACTGGAATTGCAAGTGGATGAAGGAGTGGAATTAGTCATTCAGTAATTTTTTTAAAGAAGGGTGAAGTCCATTGCTGAGAGATATGTTATTTTTGACCTTTAGAGAAATTATTAAAAATACTGAGATAGAAATACAGATTTTAAAAAGTTAGTGACATCCTGGACTTTCCAATGAAATAACTGATAATGCTGTTCAATAATTATCTAAGTGGTTGTTTTGATAGAGGGATCTCAAGAATTTTTGCTGGCTGTGGAGAAGGTTCTTACTCAAGGTTAGTACCCTTTGAAAGTAAAATTGGGTTTAGCTGACAAGATTTAGATGTATTTCCTGACTGCATAATACAGATATTTTAGCAGTGGTTTTTTTTCTGTAGTTCATGGGCAACAGCATGTGTTTCTCTAGAGCAGCACATGCCAGTACAGGAATAGCCATGCCTAAAAAAAAAAGAAAAGCTTTAAAAACTAACCTTCCATTATTTTCTGATAAATGGTAGAATTTAGATTAACATAAAATGTACAACTAAAAATATGCAGATAAATTAAAACATTTTCATCTTCTCTCTAACACCAGTGTCTTATTTTTTTGTAGTGTTGGGGGAAGCTGATGGTTTTTGGTTTCAATAGTAATCCTTTCTAGAACTTGGCATTATGCAAGTTTACACTCTTCTCAGTTTGGTCAAATATCACAATATTTTCATTTCTTCCTAGGTGAAATAATTTGTGGAAAATTGAGAGGAAGGCAAAAAAAAATAGGAAAATAGAATAAATATAGTAAAAATACAGATAATAAAAAAGAACCAACCTGAAAAAGAACAAGTTAATGTGTGAGCATTGAGACAAAACATTTTTGCTTAGCTGTATCCTTAGTGCTATAGGAGGTGCAATCTTCAGTGCTAGTCTTATGACACCCCAGAGATGAGTCTTTTGAGAATCATACCAACTTTCAAATACAGTGCAGACTATACTGTGAAATCTTTGTCAGAGAAGTGGCATCTTCACTCACTGGGGTTTGCATTAACCCTGCTTTCTGCTGAGTGTCACTACTTTGGCTGCAGAAGAATTTGCTAATTCCAAGAGGCAAAAGGGTTTGTGGGGTAAAGAGTTGAAGGAAAGAAATGACCCTGCAAGGAGGTTATTTTTCTAAAAATGACTTGTGCCAGTGTCACAGCTTTGATTTGGTGTTGGGTTTTTTTTTCTGGCAGCTTTACCAGCTCCTCTGCCTATGAGCAGGACAGTGATTTGCCTTTGCATGGGTCATTGAGCTCCAGAACTTGTTCTGCTCCTGCTCACTCTCATCTATCACCACAAATGCCTCTAACTGTGCTTCCTGTAGTGAGGAAATTCTCATCAAATATTTTTAGATCTGATATCTTCATGCCTCAAAACATTTCAGGGCTGACCTTTCATTGCCTTGAGCCAGCTGGCATTTTTTGTGAGTGATGGGGAGAGATACTGCACTTGCAACCTTGGTTAGAAACCAAGGACTTCAGGAGCTGCCTTGGGCTCCTGTGTCTAGAGGGGAACATCCAAATACAAAGCTTTCACTTTCCAGCTGATCTATGCCTGCAATGCTAGAATATGTTTGGGTATTCATGCCACCTTGCCTAAATAAATGCAACATCCAGATGTCATCACAGGCTCCCTCTGTAATCAGCACAGAGAAACCAAACCTTTTAGGGAACAGCAGCAATCTAAATTCTGTGCCCCAAACTGACCAATGTGAGTGGTCCTTCCATTCTTGGAGGTGCCTGCCTTGTTCCCTGGCCTGTTGTTCAGCCTGAAATCAAGGATCCAGGTGAAGCTGCTCCTGGGCAGTGTCTCAGCTGGCCACACATGCTTGTGGTGGGTACTTTAAGGAGACCAATGGCCACAAGTCATCAGAACTGGTTCCCTCTGCTCATGGTGGGGAGCCAAGAACAGGAGGTGAAATGGCAACAACAAAAACACCATTCTGTTCTTCTTCATGTCGTAATAGAACCATATTTAGATGCAGGAACTTGTCAATAGGTGCTCATCTTTCTGTTTAGTCATTTTCAGAGCAATCTTACACTGCTATTGCATTTCAGAGTCCTTTGATTTTTCTTTTTTTTAATGGACACAAGTAATGTAGCTAAAACTCAATAAAGATGCATAGAGCAAAAACAATATATTATTTTAAGTAAAATGTGTTTTCTTGACCTGGCATATATAATATATATATATATATATCTGCATTTCTGGAACTTTTGCAAGAGGAATAATGACAACGAGAGGTTAATGCATAATGAGGTGTATTAATTTTAGAAATAAATAAATAAATCTTCAAAAACTGAAAGGCTGAAATGGCAAAGTTTGCAATCTCAAGAAAAAATGCAACAGTGATCTGGCAGGTGTAATAAATTTGGCTTTGAAAGATAAAATGCTACTGCCTATAGTAGTCATTGGTATTCAGGGAGATCTGCTTGCTACTGTTATGAAAACGTGCATAATTAAACTGCCATTTCTCTCTTATATTTGTCTGCAGCTCAGTGAAAATATTCTAAAAGGATAGTTTGCTGTGGTGTTAAAGTTGGTTTGGACATGAAATAAGATCAACTGAATTAATGTATTTTTTGTTTTGAATAGGAGGGTCCGGATAAGTGTTCATGCAGTTGAACTCACACACTTTTGGAGTCTGTTCAGCTTAACTTTTTTGAGCATTCATAGGTAGACAAACCTGAATTAGTTGTGCAGTGTGGAGTAAGAAAATATGTTTGCAAAAGAATCCTGTTAGAAATTTTTAGATTCTTCAGGAGAACTGAGATAATTTTTAAAATTAGGATTTTTTTTTTCTAGTTTTAATCTAGGTTTTCTTAACAGCCCAGGGCAAATTTTCAGCTGTAGTTGAAACTTAGAGATCATTTTTTTGTGTTCTGAAGATGACTTGTTGAATACAGGATTCTTTATTTAGAGAGGTGCAGGAATGCTCTACATCTGAAATAATTCCTATATTATCTTTTCCCTTATTTTTGCTAAATGTCGTTTATTTACAGTTAATTTCTGTGAATATTTCTTTTAGCGAACTCATCCAGATGGCTTCCACTAATCCAAAATGAGCAGCATTGGAAAGCTTAATCTATCCTGAATTTGTTAAAGTGCTATTTTCTCTTGCAGAAGCTGCCTTCCTCCACAGATGTTTCACAGGCTAATGGACAGCCAGAGGATCGTGTGGCAGGTGCCAGAGGGAGCAGGAGGATTGGGTCAGTATCTGCAGACTCTCAGCCAGGGATGGATGGCCCCCAGAGTTCCCCCCTCACCCCAAACGTGTGTGCTGGTTCTTCTGTCAGAATAGCAAGAGGGGGTCACAGCCTTGCATGGAGAACTAAGAGAAAACCATCCCAAAAACTGCCAGGTCAGTGAAAGTTTTCTCACTGGTTTTAGTTCAGTGAAATCTCTTATTCTTGGTAGAAGATAGAGATATTTGAATGATTCCTTCCAGAGATGCACAGTTGATTGTTAGTTTAGACAAGCTGACAATAATAACTATTTAATGTTTTTCATTTTGCATTTTCTTTGCCATTGTTTAAGAGGGGCTTAGGGCTTATAAAAATAATTGAAAGATTTTGATTTCATCATGGTGTATCTTACTCTGTGGTAAGATAATTTTTCCAAATTGTTGGATGTTTTAAAAAAAAAGTTGTTTTGTTGATCTTGTCCTACCTTTTTTCCCCTCCAATTACTTTTTTTTTTTTTAGTGATCCAATTATTCCTATGCCCTGAAGCTCTTTATAGTAATTTCCATTAACTGCAGGAATCCTGTTAAGAACAGAGCTGATCAATTGCAATTGCATTTGTGACAGTCTGCTGCTAAACTAAACACGCAAGAGATTTCAGCCTCTCTGAGACAACATAACCTCTCCATACTTGTATGGAAACAAAACCAAATATGCAATTACTGGAGCCAGTTAGGTAGAGTAGTTAAAAATGTTACTCTAGTGAATTTCCTTTATAATCTTGGATTTAAATAAATGCAATGAAACAATTAAAAGCGTAGTTTTTGCTCTTGGCATTAATGAACATGGAAGATACTGAGATTTCCTTTTAGTTAAGTAATTTATTATGCAACGAAATGGTGACTCAGAATTCTGATAACACATTACTTAGTCCAGGGGATGTTTGTAACATTTCAAACCAAGTTTCCTGGTCCTTTTCTGTCTCACACTCACACACAAAAAAGACCAATGAAATACGGCCATAAAAGAAAAATATTGTGAAAAGCAGAATGAAAGTAGCTCTTTGATTGATCTTCCTGAATTCAGAGATTTTTTTTTATATAAATCATATAAGCTTTAATTAAATCCCAATGAAAGCAGGACATGGGCCTCTTGTGCAATTACATGGGAGGCCACAGCTGAAATCAGCCACAATGCATAGAGCATCCTGTTTCCATGAAAACATACAGCAACACACTGGGACATCCAAGGTTACGGTTTCTGTTCTCCTTCCCTCCTCAGACACCTTCAGCTGTCCCCTCCAGCTCAGACCCTTGGGTGGTCCCAGCCTGCCCATGATCCACAAGGGAGGCCCCTGGCCTCTGCTGCCAGGGCTGGAGGATGCTGCAGTGCCCCTGGAGCGTGCCCTGTTTGGGGCCACCAAGGGGAGGGATCGGCCATGGAAACACCCTGGCATCTTCTGGGGTCAGAGAGGAAACCAGCATGCAGGTGCTATTGCCCAGGGAGTGAAACACAAAAATGCCATTATGGATAAGGCATGGCTCTCTGGAGAAAAAACAGATGGCTCAACCTCAGCTACCACAGCAGAAAGCTATTTGCCAGACGTGTTGTCAGCAAGTAATAAAGGTCGATACTCTGTGGGGAGAAATCAGCTGCATGGGAAAGAATAAAACCTGCAGAAATAAAACAAGGTAAACATCTTAGCAATGTGATTTTTCCAATTGATACAAAGGTCCAGGTTTTTTTTTTTAATCACAAATATTTTACTAGTTAGCACGGCCTAGCAAGTAGTTTGAGATGACTGGAAAATTTATATGGAAAAGAGCTGTGACATTTTTTATTATCAAAATTTCATAGAACGTTTGAGATCACTGAAATACATGGATTTTTCTTTAGCCAGGCACCTCCCCATTTTCTTTTCACCTTTTGTTGGTGATTTGATTTTCTTTGAACTAAACTGTTAAACAAATCTATTAAATCACTTTTGCTTTTATGTATAACCTATTTCTTCAGTGTGCTGTGGCAAGTTCTGAAAGAACATCTCCCTTGTGTGACTGTTTCTTTTGGAATTTCAGGAAATGTAGTGTCATGGACTTTCTAGAAATTAATTTTACAAAAATTAGAGGGTAATTTTGCTGTGTTTCTTTACTATTGGGATATTTAAAAAAATATACCCTTTTTTTAATAGACCCAACTACAGCAGGACAGTCAGTGTATTGCTGCAGGAGCTTGTATCTGTAAAGTAGCATCCTTCAATTGCTGCTTTTAAGTAATAAATTTCAGCTTAGCTTGAGTAGCTTTACTGGATATGTCCACAGCCACTTTTTTTAGGGGACTGCATGGGCACTGTGAGTACAGAAATATCTGAGTTCACAGGGTGAATGATGCAGGCTGCACCCTGTGTGCCAGACCCCTGCACAGGGAGAAGTGTGTGGAGTGCCAGGCCAGCTGTGCTGGCACCACCAGGACAGCATTTCCTCACAGTCTGGCCCAGAAAGAGTTGTGGTGTGGGCTGCAGAGCCTTGGGTGCATCCTGGCTATGAAAAGGAGAAGGGAATCGTGTGTCTGTGCAGGTGCATGAGTGCACTGATGCTGGTTGGCTCTGGGAAGTTTAACTGAGCATGGTAGCAAATTCCACAAAATACCGATTTATATTGTGGCCTCACCAGAGTTAATACATTTGGAAAACATCCATTATTCCCACATCTTTATCATTATTCTTTATTTTGCATCACTTTTATTAGAAAAGGACATTCACACACAGTAGTGCGTGTCACAGTTGCTTTTCCTGTGCCTCCATTGATTCCCCCAGCTGGTTCATAGTATGTTGCTGCTTGTTTTTTGGAAGCCAGAAATAAAATGCCTGCTTTTGATGAAATATTAATGCACACACTCACACTTTATTGTGGAAACCTGCCTCCAGTTGCTCAGTAAGGTAGCAGTGCAGCAGGAACTGAATTGCTCTTCATCCAGCACAGCTTTGAAAGCACACCCCAGATGCCAAGGGAAATAGTCCCTGGAAGTGATGTCGTTGGGTGCTGCCTGAGCAGGAGGTGCCAGTGAGATTCCAAAATGTGGGCTTTGCTTTTATGTGTCTTTCACTTCTTCCTGACGCCTGGCCAGAACTTCTGAAGGCAGGTATACCTGCTATCCAGCCATCAGCTGCCTTGTCAAGTATTAAGATATTTTGATATGCAAAACCACTTGTAAATATTGAACATGGTAACTGTTACATTGATAATACAATGTTTTAAGTATTAGCTATTGTGAGAACTTATTGCAACTTTATCTTGCTGACAGTAAAATGCAAGGCCTGCCAGTTCAGTCTGAGGTCAGATCATAATGCATGAAGTGTGCTAATAATAAGGGTATTAATAATATTCTGTGATAATATGATAATAAGTCTTTGTTACCCTAGTGAAGCAATCTACTTTGTGTTTGGGGCTATGGTGACTTCCCATGAAATTAAGCCTTTGTCAGTCCAGTCTTTTTCTATCTCAGATAAGTGTGGTTTATTTTAAGTGTTCAGGCTTAATTTTAAGCTAATTAGGTTATTTGGCCCCATTCTTCCTCCTGCTGGAACTAATAATTTCCTGAACAAGTGCTGCAGACACAGAGATGTAGATGGAAGAACAGACATTTGCAAGGATATTACCTGCACTGAAGCACAATAATTCAAAATGGACTCAAGCAATTCATCCAGCAAATGGATTCTGTGCTGGCACTTCGTTGCTTTGCTTCACAAGTCACAGATTTCAGTTAAAATCCTGTAGCCCCTTGTGGTTTTAATTTTTTAAGACATCTATTCTTCCTACTACAAAGCATTGTTTAAAGATGTGCAGATACCACAGTTACCATTTGGCCAGCTGTTTCAGCTGCTTTTCATTTTTCTTAATTAAAAATGTGGAAGTTCAGACACTACAGTGGAGGAATGGCAATAAATTAGCAGCAGTCAGTTTGGACAGCTGCGTGCAGCAGCACTGGAAAAGCTAAATCAGCTAAAGGTTTCCTCTTTTAAACTCTGTCTTACTCCATTTTTCCCACTATTGAATGGACAAATGAGAAGTGATAGTAAGATCTTACCAAATAATTATGCCCTAGTTGATTTACAAGAAGATGAGAGGGACATTGCACCATCAAACAAGGAGCTTCAAATTATTTAAACGTGGTCATTTATAGGAACCTGACCCAAAATGTACAGTGTCAGACCAGATGGTTGCTCTATTGGTGTCCTGAGGTCCTGTGGGAGTCTCAGCCTTCTCAGTGAGTTATACAGGATAATTAATTTTGACCCTTATTCTGTGAACTATTTGCTGGGTTTTTTCTGTATTGAGAGGGATCAGTAGCCATGCTTGCAGAGCACATCTGAATTGGGCTGGTTTTAGCCACCTGTGGTCTGCTGTTTGCCATCCATGGACCTGCATGAGTCGAGTGGCATTATCTGGACAGCAGTGGATGATGAGGGTACTTGGAAGGAAGGTGGATGACAGCATCCTGCCTATTGAGTGATGCTCCCTGGGCCTTCTCCCCATTCAGACTCTTCCAGTCCCAAAGATATTGTTTGAAACAGCACAGGAAACTATTTTCTGGAATCAATATCCAACGAGTGTTTATTCATATATACAGCCAAAATGTGCCCAGTCCTGTTTTCTGTATTTGAGCTACCTAATATTGAAATCAAAATAACTCTTTTTAGCAGCAAAGTTGCATCTTGTCTCTAGTTTCAACAGAAGAATTACTTAGAATTAGAGTTACATGGAAGCAGTAAAAATAGTGCATAGTGCTTTCTAAAGACTGTGAGAGATAAACATAAAAAGGAAACTCATGGTGCATCTGAGACTAAAAATGCACTGTAGAGTAGTCTGTACCCACTGTGGGGGAGGAATTGGAATCTGAGGATCAAAAACCACACGAAAGAATAGCCTTTGTCCATAAAAGATGAAAAAGAAAAAAAAAAAAAAACCTTCACTTTCTTCCAACTCTGAATGAGCATTTTTCTGAAATTAGAGAAAATTAATAATCCTCCTGCAGTTGTGCTTTACCTATTTTGCTCTTCACTGGTAGAAGTCGTAAACAGGGAATGTAATGCCAATTTTTATGTTCAAATGCAAAGAACATGTAGAATGACAGATCATGCATATTTTGAGAGTTCTCTTTAGTCAGTGCAATTCCTGCATTAGACTACTTTGATTTTTCAGGATAATAGCATTCATAATATTTTTTTAAATGGTAAGTTGTCCTGTATTTTGTCTGCGCTCATCTGTGCACGCAGTCTCACTTAACAAGAAAGAATTCATCCTGCAAGTTAAAAAGGTAAAGTAGCGCATTACATCTTGTTAATGTGTACAACAGAAATTATTTGATCAGAATCAGTGGAAATGATGTGTTCTGCATTCCTGTTTGAGAACTGATATGCTGGAGAAGGCTGGGAAGGCACAGGAAAGTAGGGAAGATGACAAAACTCAATTTCTTTCAGGTAAAAGATGCCAGGATCCTAGGTTGTCCTGTGTATTAAACATTTGTAGAAAATGCAGAAGGGTTGCTCATGAAGCCTGCCACTCTCCATGTATTGCTTGCCTTGTGCTATGGAAAGCTTTCATTCCCACAGGAAATTTGGGGATCAGATCTTATGTTCAGTCTCTGGTCACTCAGCTTCATCCTCAGGACTGGTGTTTGTAGGAGTGAGAACAGAGCCAAGTTGCCCATGATTAAATCCCTAAGAATACCTCTTTATATTTTTTTCCAATAGCAATTCTGATTTGCAAAAGCACTATCTAGTACCTCTTAGTAACAGCCTGTAAGCTGATTGATATTAAAGCCCCTAATTAAAACCAGATAATGCATGAAAGATTTCTGCAGTGCAAACCTTTCTCTTAAGGCCTGATTAAGCCAAAAGACCTCACTTGCCTGTTTGCACAAATGTATTCTCATCAGGTCAGGCACCTGGCAGCACTGACTTAGGGCCATCCTTCTCACCATACCTTGTTCTTGGGAATGAGGAGAACAAAGGCTGGGACAGAAAATCAGATATTTCAGAAAGAATGGCCTATTACATTTAGCTAGGAATATAGTCTGTCAGCAGTCTATCTGGCTCTGATCATCCTATCAGTCAGGATAATGGTGAACCATAGAATAATGTGTTCATTTACATATAAATGTGCATAAAATATTTATTTGCATATATATTCACCTATATATATGTATAATTGCATGCAGTTTGGCATAAATAAATATGGTTTAAAATAATAGGGAGAAGTGATTTTCTGCAGGTCATTTTTTTTTGTGCTTTATTTTTTCCTCTGTCTCGAGATTTGCAAATACAAGTCAGGACAAGAGTAGAGACTGATTTCTTTAATTCTTATTTTAAAGACTGAATTTAAACCTTAAATTAAGAGGTAACTAAGACTATGCAGTGGAAGTTCTGGTCGTACCTTGACTGCACTTCAGGTTAAAAATTCAGGTATGTGTCAATCTGTCTTCTCCTTCCCAAATAAACTAGATTCCATGGGAAGGACACTCACTTGTGTGCCCCACATGCCAGCCCAAATGTAAATGACAGTGGGACCAGGCCAGTGAGGGGCACTTTGTCCTGTATCAGTTCAGCTCCCTGTTGTCTCTTTTGCTGCTGAAGGAGACGGAAACAAAAGATCAGTGGTTGCATAAAATATTGTTAGCACAATTTTGCTTCTAT